TACTGTTTTATCACTCGTATTACTACTACTACTATTGTTATTACAGTTATCATTATCATTGCTGTTATCTTAATTTTTTACCTGGATTATCTGGACTGGCCAGATTATGAAACGTTTGTAAAGTTGCTGGTCACAATGAGCTTCCATTCGGTCCTTGATCTTGCTTTCGTTTGCTTGGTGTTACCCAATTATCTTAATTTAATTGCTAGAATTGAAGTAAATTTTTGATAAATTAACAATGAAGTCACATTCAAAGTTATTCGTAATTTATAACAAGTGCTATTTAACATAATATTTTCCTTCAGTTATACATATCGATAAGTGATTAAATAAAGCAATCCAAAAAACTGAACCAAATTGAGTTCTTCTCACATCGCAAATGGTCCAATTTGAATTGTTTACGTTTCGTAAATCACTGAGATTGATTCACTCATTTGAGTGATTCGTTATTGTCATATAGCAGAATACGAATTATTTCAATGTAATTATTTTTGATAGCAGCTAAAACTGTTTGATCTGACAGTTACTGTAATCATTGTTGAGTCTCAAGTGAATGCTGCAAAAATTCCGTATTTTTATCATTTTTTCAAAAGATCTCATTACATTTCTAATGTGATTCTCTTGCTGCAGCATATAATCCAATATTCTTGCGAAGAATGCGATTACTTTTTCGGTAAAAAATCCGAGGAAATCGGTAAAATGTTTGCTCTAAATTCTCAATCCCAAATTTCATTATGAATTCGTGGACGTTGACAATGCTAGCAGTATCCAGTAGAATAGGGTTCAGGAACTCCCAAACATTTATAAGTTCTCGCGGACCACTGACGCTCGTGGGCTCCCGACCTCGGGGTCCCTGAGGCTGATTCCGCCTCCGAAGTTGGATCGAGGACCTGTGAGACCCTGCGACATGAGGGAAGGATTCGGAGGCCGCCAGCACTTTCGAACATTCAGAAGCCTCTATCTCAGCGCTTTCGACCTCAGCGACCACCGGGCACTTGTAGCACATCAGAAGTCCCCTACTCTACTCCCTACTCTCGGGGATCCCAAGCATTTACGAACCTGATTTCGGTCTGACCGTCTCCCTGACCTTCGGAGACCTCCGGTCTCGGGGACTACCGAGCCTGATTTCGATCCGACTCGACCCAACCCTCGCACTTGGGACCACCTCGTTGCTCATCTGCCCAATGACCCACTACACGACCGAACTTATCAAAAGAAGGCGGAGTCCAAATGCAGATCTACTGAAGATCGCTTGAAATTTCGTTCATGATTCATTTAATTCCTTTTGATTTCGACAGGCTTACGCCTTCACGATGTAATCCAAAAAAGTTAAGGTCATTCGAGATTAGTTAGATATTAGATATCGTGTTTGTTCGAATGGATATCATACTCATGATGATGATCATAATCATAGTGGTAAAACGGTATCCATACTGATTTTGCTTTTCACTTTTTCGTGAAAGCAGTTATCAGTTCGAGAATTGTGGATTGAATTGTCAGTCAGAATGATCACTTAAGCCGTATCATTCTTTCGATCAACTCGCCACTATCATTGTCGTGAGCATTTGATGGAATAAACTATAAAAAAACTATCTTTTGTCATTCTTTTCGTTCATTCTTATCACTATCGAAAATGATTTGAAGATGACTTCATCAGTCCCAATGAGTTCTATAACAATCAGCTTATTTAGTATCTTTTTTCACGTTCAGTTTGTTCACATAAGCATGCATTCGTTACCTTACTAGTAAACCCCATATCATCCGTTATCTTATCTCGATCCTCTACAAATCTCACCATCATTCTCATAGAATATCTGAAATATGGAATGTTTTTGCATGTAGACCTCCAGATTGCATTATCTGATGTATATATCGTATCACATTCAATTCAATTATACTCCATTATAAACAACATCACAAATTCAATTACTGCTAAATAACTTAATTATGTGTATGCATCTAAGGCAACAAGTCCGTTTTATGCGATGATCCGATGCCTAATCGAAAACTGAACTCTAAAGGAAATCAAATGCGGGAAGGTTGCGAGAATGATCTGGACTGGGATACGTGCTTATCATACTTAACATTGATCAGCACAAATCGCTCGTTATTCTATCACCAACTTATCACTCGCTCAAACAATCTATCATTTGTTGTTCCCATGTTCCGACAGTGAATTGCACGGCCTATTTCACTTCTCATTGAGATTACTTACTCGCCAAAACCTGAAAATAATTTCAGGCTGATGATGTTTCCAAGATACGCGCCGTTTGTCTCTACACCTGGAAGTGCGTGGCAATCGATGGTGACACCATTGCAGCATTCACTAGCCGCCTCAAGTGCAGCCGTATCTGCGAACAACGATCTCAGAGCATTTGACTCAGGTTAGAGTTGATGAGGATTCGGTACANTGCAGCCGTATCTGCGAACAACGATCTCAGAGCATTTGACTCAGGTTAGAGTTGATGAGGATTCGGTACACCAGGTTTAGTTGCTTATAAGACAACGTAACGAGAATATGAACTTCTCAACAAGTCGCATCGCTACTCTCACAATCAGCAAATAAATTTCGATATGTTCACAAACATTCTTGGATTCTCTGAGACGAAGGGAATTTTTTTCGCAACGAATGAGGCAAACGTATACAAAATTTGCTTGGATGTTAGAAATAATGACCTGAAATATTGCCGAAATCAATTGCATCTCCTCCAACAGACCGCTCAGGTGGTTAAATTGACTCCGATATCCTGCTGACAGAATACAGAGCAAAAAAAGCAATGACATGAGATTAAAAAAATAACTGATTTGAATTTAAACTCATGCTGCATTTCGAATCACTTCATGCTACTCAAATCTCCTCAAAAAAAACACATGGAATTTTTTTATCCGATTGGCTAAGATACAGGGCTTCGATCGCGTATTATTCTACTAATTTCACATGCTCATCCCTCATGACGCCAACACGCGATTAGCACTTATTAATAGGATATCGTGAGA